TCCCAAAAGATCCTACCATTCATCATCATCATCAAATTACCTTTCTTTATTCGATTCACTATGGATATTCCAGCAGACTTTCTTAGATATATCATGACAATCCATTGACCTTCAAACATTAAAAGGACATTTATGACATACTGTATCTTGTATGCTGTTTACCCAAAGGTTCCCTTCTGGTTCCAATGCTACACCAGGCCCCTTGATTTACCAGAAGAGACTATAAGCAGAAAATGATATATAGCAAGGGCTTAATCTTGAACATTGACTATTGGGGTTAAAAATTATTACAGAATGCAAACAAGATTCTGATGCAGGCCTAAGATATTGGATAACTGTCTCATCCATAATATACAAACAGATTTTTGGCACTTCAATCCTCCTTAGTTGCAAACGACTTTCTAGGCATCAACTTCATGACTTGTAAATCTACCGAAACTGCTGCAGGTTCAGTGTACAACAAAAAGAACAACAATGCAATAAAGACAATAACAATATAAAAGAGACAAAATCCTTTTTATACCAAATATCTTGGATCAAGTAAATGAATCATTTCTCCTCATTCAGGTCTATTAACGGCAACGTTTGAAAAAGCTTTTTGAAACTCGCTTTGGAAAATCATTGTGAAACTCAAATGAGACGTTGTTTTCCCTTGAAGCTTACACCTCATCACTAAAAGTATAACTTAAGTGCACACTTCACGCTCCAATGAAGTGCTACTATTTTTAAGCTTGTGCATATAAAAAGATTTTTAACTAAAATTAGAATGTGTGTCTATAAATAACCATGTGACAACACGTCCTCGTCAATATAACATTTAAACTTAGTTTATTATGTCCATGTGACTATGACTAAGATATATTTCTTATATATGTAACTTAGTTTATTATGATTTGTGTCTATACTTATCATATTTAATTCTTATTTACTAAAGAATACTTGTCCATCTATTTGTAAACTATTATACCTATACATATTATATGTTTATAACATTTATAAGTTTAAAAAATATGCTTAAATAAGGCTTACGCCTCACACCTTGAAACTTAGCCTACCTTCATAAAAGTGTCCAATGCTTCGCCTTGTGCTTCTAATTTTTCCTAACATTCTAAGGGTCAAATCCAATTTTAGATAAAGCTACTTCATCCTACTTTTACCACCTCCCCCACTACATATATATGCAAGTTTTCATCCACACCATCTCAGTCACGCCCCAGGCAAACAAGCCTATTGGAACAACGTACGCCATTGGACCCACCGAGTGCAACACATTGTTTGGCTCAAACCACTCCCAAACTGACTAGCCAATACTGCACTTGGCTTCCATGGCTCATCATTTAAACTCATCAATGTCTCTGCTAATACTCAAGTGTGGAACTAGTGGGGTTGGGGGTATCTATCACACATTTGGCAACAATACTGTAATGGACCGTTGTCATGATGTGACGAGGACGTCATGTAGTTAAAGGTGGCAGAGACATCCAATAAAATAATTTTAAATTGGGGTGTGATGGTCTCAACCAATTATCTATAATCGGAGCTATCACTATGTTCTAATAAATCCCTTATCTTATAAATCTTTATTTCTTTTAGGGGCTGTTTGTTTCCATGAATTTTGCATTCGGCATTAGAAAAATGGGACCCAGAAGTTAAACATCATGGATGTTTAACAAATACACTGTTTGCTTGTCAATTTTTACACATGGATTTACAGTTGCCACATAGGATAAATGGATCAAATAAAATTCCCTAATGTTGTGTTGATTTTAACCGGATTTGTGAACTTAGTCACATATCCTCAATAAAATTCATGTACAACCAAACAAAAGTTGTCTGGATTATATTCCTCATGCAAATCCTCTTTAATATCCATCACAAACAAACACGATTTTAATTATGGGTTTTTTCAAAATCCATTATATGCATCAAGATTAATCCACAAACCAAGCATCCTCTAGTGACCTTCTGTTACTTATAGTCCAACATTCTAGCTCACAAAATATTGCAAAGAGCTTTCCTTCAGTTTCATGAGTATCCCCGGATCATATGCTATTTGCTATTTGACAATTCCTCCCCCCCACCACTATAACTAAGAAATGAATGCTTGAGCATTTGACTATGTTCTACTTTCTCCGCATAGCTTAGCCAGAGTTAAATTCCACTATATATAAATTCTCTACCCCAATTTATAGTCTCACCAACTAATAAAGATCCTACTTATGTATAGTAATCAATGGATCTATCTCCTCCCCAATTACTCCCATTCTATTTATTGGTCAAGTAAAACATAAAAAAATTACACTTACTGATTCCTGGATCTCCTCTTTAACTATATAAAACGGATCTTGAGCCGAACTCATCTCCGTAGAACAACAGATCTCAGATCCTGCAAGTCAAAGGACACTGTCAGCAGATCTCACTACAAAATCATAGAAAATGGAGTGAAGATTGGTAAGAATTCGAACTTTTTCAGTCAGATAAGGAAAAAATTAGGTGAAATTAGGGTTTGGGATTATGAAGAAATAGGGCAAATTTGAAGGGAAAAGAGACTGAGAGAGAGCTCACCGGAGCTCCGCCTTATTTCCGGTGTCGACGGCGGGTGAAGAGAGGGAAGGAGAATAAGTAGGGGAGGATCCGGTCGGGTCGAACTGATCAAATATCAGATCCGGGACAAATTTTCAAAACCAAACCATTTGATGTTTTTATTGCAAAAAACGACCCGTTTCACATTTATTTAGAGAAACCGACCTGGTTTCAGTACTGTCGCTGAAATCAGGTCGGGTTTTCTAAAAAAACTTTACGAAACTTCACGGAAGTTCAACTCCCGTGAAGTTTAGTATGTTTTTAAACTTCACGGGAGTTGAACTCCCGTGAAATTTATTACGCTCATTAAACTCCACGGGAGTTCAACTCCCGTGAAGCTGCAGGGTAAAATCCCCAGCGAGTAGCTCGCTGGGAAATTAGCCTGCAGCTTCACAGGAGTTGAAACTCCTGTCTGAAGCTGCAGGCCAGATTTCCAGCGAGCTACTCTCGCCTGGGATTTGCCCTGCAGCTTCACGGGAGTTGACTCCCGTGAACGCTGCGGGCTATATAAACGAAGCGAAAGAGCCCCTCCCCAGTTCTCTCTCCCGCAACCGGCCCCAAAACCCCTAACCTCTCTCCGCCGCCGTCCAACGTCATTTCGACCCAGCCCCCAATCCGACCGCAGCACTCCTTTCTGACGCTTGCCCTTGATTCGACCGTCGAACAGTCAACTTCGCCAGATTTCGACAATTTGAGGTAAATCCTCCCAAAATTTAGATTTTCTCTTAATTTCTTGTAATTCTTCGCTATTTAATGGTGATTATATGTAAAAAATTATATTTTAGAATTGTTAATTGTGAATTTTTATGCATTTATGGTGAAGAAACTTAAATAATTTTGTCGATTTAGAGGTAACACTATTTAAGTTTTCTCATCATAAATCATAGAAAATTCACAATTAATTTTTAAAATATAATTTTTCATATTTAATCACCATATTACGGTAGGAAATTACAAGAAATTAAGAGAAAATCTAATTTTGGGGAATTATACCCTTCAAATTGTCAAAAATCCGGCGAGAGTTGACTGTTCCGGCGTGGAATCAAGGGCAAACGTCGGAAAGGAGTGCTAGCGCGGTCGGAATCAATGGCCTGGCGCGTCGGATTTGGGGCTGGGGTCGGAAACGACGTGGAAGCGCGGCGAAGAGAGGTTAGGGTTTGGGGCGTTCGAGGAGAGAGAACTGATGGAGGGGTTGTCGCTTCGTTTATATGCGCCGCCACAGCCTTCCACGGGAGTCTCAACTCCCGTGAATACTGCAGGGTAAAATCCACAGCAGTAACTCGCTGGGGAATCTGGCCTGCAGCTTCACGGGGTTGAACCCTGTGAAGCTGCAGGCTAATTTCCGCAGCGAGTAACTCGCTGGGAAATCTGGCCTGCAGCTTCACGGGAGTTGAACTCCCGTGGAGTTTAATGAGCGTAATAAATTTCACAGGAGTTCAACTCCCGTGAAGTTTAAAAACATACTAAACTTCACGGGAGTTGAACTCCCGTAAAGTTTTTTAAAAAAACCGACCTGGTTTCAGCGACAGCGCTGAAACCAGGTCGGTTTCTCTAAATAAATCTGAAACGGGTCGTTTTTTGCAATAAAAACATCAAATGGGTTGGTTTTAAAAATTTGTCCATCAGATCCGCCATATTCACGTTAGTTACCTGCGAAGCAGTGGCGAATCCACGCCCTATCATGTGGTGGTTCAAATTTTATTTTTTCAAGTACTACTATTGGAGACGTAAAAAAAAATTAGTAAGAAAGCAAAAAACTATTTTTAGAGAAGCAAAAATAAAGAAAATAGGAGAAAAGTAGATATATAAAAACAATTATTTGGCTTATCTTCATAAATGGATACATTGAAAGAAAAAGAAACAAAAAATAAGGTGGAGGTAAAAAAAGAAAGAAAATAAAGTAGAGAACTTGGTTGGTAATAGCAAACTAAGAAAGCTTTAGGAGTTTTGAACCTGTGACCTCTTAGAACATAGCAACACTAGTACCGCTGGGCTATAAGTCACTTATGTTTACTAACAGATATATATAATATATATAGAAAACTTATAAATATGAGGTGGTTCAACTGAACCAGTTTGAACAGGCATGGGTCCGCCCCTGCTGCGAAGTGTGGTAAATTTTGATGAAAAGCACATCCACTGTGCTCATTTTCACTTTTGTACCCTGAAGTTCACCCTTTTTTGCTCCAAACAAAAAGTAAATAAATAAATAAAGGATGTGTTCGTCCTTCACTTTTCTACGTTGATGTTCTCAAACAATAAATTTTTTTAATTTAATTTTATTGTGGGAGAGACGTCAATTTCAAGAACTTTTATATCGTTTAAGCAATCAAGTTACTCAAGCAAGAAACTATGAATGGGTGGGGTGGGGTGGGGGGGTGTGCGTTGTAAGCAGTTTAAGAGAGAGAGCATATATATTAGGTGGGGATAATTTTGCCTTTGTAAGATGATTTTGAGGGTGGGGTGGGGTGGGGGTGGGGAGTTGTAAGCAGTTTAAGAGAGAGAGAGCATATATATTAGGTGGGGATATTTTTGCCTTTGTAAGATATTTTTGTCTTTTAACATTAGACAGTATAAGGGCGGTAATAACAAAACTTAGAGATTAATTCATCTATTGGTTTTCCCAAAACCAAAATGACCTAAACTACATGAGCCATAGTAACCACATTTGTTGAAGGAAAAAAGCAAGGTGAAAAAAAATAAAGCTAAATATGTTGAAACTTGGAAGTGCCTTTTGACAAATCTAAACATTTAGAGTATCAGATATAAAAAAAGTTGATAGAATTTCCGAGTACTAATTTGTAATTAAAGAAGGACTTTTTGGTATTTTCCCCTTAATCCGTAGGTATTAGATATTAGTCCTCCAAATTTTCATATTTTGTATCAGTCCTCTAAATTATCTTAATCTGTTGATATTAGGGCTTCTAATAGGTTTATCATTCAAAACCCTAATCATGATTAACACTACCTATGGATGGAGAAATACCTTATTTACCCCCTCCTTCTCTCTCACCTCCTCTGTCTCCAAATGTCCCCTCCTCTACTGGTGCTCTCACATCGTCATCAATCGCCGCAACCATCATCTTCACACTGCCTTCTTCGTCTCGGCATATATTATCATCGACTACTCCATCTCCTCTGCCACCATCTCCTATATCTTCATCACCTCCTTCACTGATATTCTCGTCTACCTCACTATCACCATCTTCACCGCTAATGTCATCACCATCCCCATTATAGTAGGTACAGTTGAGGAGGAAGAGGACGGAAGGGATGACAATGGTATTTGAGAGCATAAAGTAAGGAGATGGGGTCAAAGGCGATGCAGGAGAGGGGTATAACTATCCATTAAAAAAAGTTAAAAAAAAACTAGAATATGTCTTATTTGTTTTAACACCAACTAACTAAGGGGCTAATATCAACATTTCACGCAATTTTGAGGACTAATATCAAATATGAAGATCTGAGGGACTAATATCAAAAGACTTATGATTTAAAGGACTAGTATCTAAAAACCCATTAGAGAATTAATGGACAAATTTTCAAACCCAACCCATTTGAGTTTTTATTTGCAAAAAACGACCCGTTTCTAGGATATTTGCAAAAACCGACCTGGTTTCAACGTCAGCGCTGAAACCAGGTCGGTTTTTGAAAAAAAATTTCCGAAACTTCACGGGAGTTGAACTCCCGTGAAGTTTAGCAGCTTTTAATTAATCTACTAAACTTCACGGGAGTTCAACTCCCGTGAAGTTTCTTAGTTCAAAAATAAAATTTTTGAATTGTGAAACTTCACTGGAGTTGAACTCCCGTGAAGTTTAGCAGCTTAATTAAAAGCTGGTAAACTTCACGGGAGTTCAACTCCCGTGAAGTTTCGAATTTTTTTTTTCTCAAAAACCGACATGGTTTCAGCGCTGAGGCTGAAACCAGGTCGGTTTTTACAAATTTGTTTGAATGGGGTCGTTTTTTGACAATAAATTCCTAAATGGGTTGGTTTTGAAAATTTGTCCGAGAATTAATACATTTTAATACTATAAAGGGCTAGTTACAGAATAACCAAAGCTTACCTCATTTTAATCTTATAAGAGCATCTCCAACAGCTTCTCTAAAAATTTGTCCAAAATGGGGAAACAAAAGTCATATTCTTCAAATTATTTTTACATCAACTCCAACAGCTTCCCCATTTTGAAAAATCCTTTTTTCCTCCAAAAATTTGGAGAATGCTGCAGATTTGGGGAAGCTTCCTCATTTTTTCTCCTCCATCCCTATTTTGGGGAATGATATGGGGAATCTGTTGGACCAAAAACCTAACTATATTCTCCAAAAGTGAGAAATGAAGAAGCTGTTGGAGATGCCGATTGTTTTTTCCCCAAGAAAATAACATGCAAGTCAACAAAATCTCTAATACGTCAGAGTTTTTCTTTCTCAAAAACTAAATTCAACTAAATTTAACTTTCATACCCCAAAGTTTAAAAAATAACCTTAATGTGAACTTTTTGTTAAATTTTTCGTTGAAGCTTTAGGCGCTTAAGTGCAAATAACCCTGCCAAAAAAACCATGAAGAAATGACACGTACTTTACCCCCCATAAAAACTAGCGACAGCTTTCATCTCCCGACCAACAAAAAAGATCCCCAGCTAAACCCCAACACCATAAACCCTTGCCGCAAAGCTCTCTCCTTTTAACAACCAAGAAAGCGCAAAAACCGAACAGATTCGAATAGAGAAATGGCGATCGAGAAGTCGAAGCCGGCGAACCTCGCGCCCTCTACCCTCTCTCGCTTCAAAAGGATCGTCCTCGGTTGGGATTACCTCCACCTCCTCAGAGAATCAAACGTATCTAAACCCTTAAAACCCTAGACCCCTTTCGCGATTTCAATCCCTCTAATTTCCTTCACGAATTGCAGAAGAGGGACAGAGCCGGCGGCCGGGGATTGAAGCGAGTCAAGAACAGCTTCGAGGATCTCGATGAGTACATCAAAGTGTTTGAGCCGCTGCTCTTCGAAGAGGTCAAGGCTCAAATCACCCAGCAGAACGATGAGGAAGAAGGTAATGATTTGATTTTTTGGGGTTTTTTTTGGCACATATACCCCCAATATACGGCCGACCGGGGATATTTAAAAGGCCCAGTTTGTTTTTGAGTCTTATGAATTAGGTTTTGTTTGTCTTACTACCTTCCCTTTGACAGAGAGTAATTGGGACAGTGGTGGAATCGCTAAATGTGTCGAATCTGAGGGGTTTCATATGGTGGATTTGGTAGTTCAAGATGCTTTTCAAGGAGAAGTATCAGAGAATGATCTGTTGATACTTTCGGAGAAGGAGGTAAGATTTTTTTGCTTTGTATATTTCACATAATTTTAACTGTAGATTATAAAATTTAGTCTCAATCCTCACTGTAATTTCGACATTTTGACATAGGGGAAGAGAATGTAGGTATCAGAGCAATATAGGTTCAAATCCCATCAACTACACATTTAGAGCAGATTAAAACAAATATATTGTTTGTGAGTCCAGGTTTCATCAGCCCATGAAAATGATATTCAATCTGGGTGGGCATGTTAAAGTATTAAATTACAAACCATAACTTCAATCTATGCAACGGAAAAGGACTTTATGATTAAACAACAAAATTCATCAGTCTAACTTAGAAAATAGATTGAGCAAGGTATAGTAAAAGTCTTACTATAAAAGTCTGAAAGGTCTCCTCTTGCATTGTATTCGAGCTTAATTGTCTGCATTTGCCATGTTGTAGTTTCTAAGTAGGTCCCAAGATATTGCATAATTTAAGATTCTTTTGTCAAATAATGATAAATTCATTCACCTGCAAATTAAGAAGTGTGTGAGCGGAGTGGAGTTCATCAGTTAAGGAGCTTTTTTGCATCACATGTAGCATCAAGATCAAAGAACTTTGTCTGTTTAAGTTTTTATTGTGGAAACTATGGGAAAGTGAAGGGCTTTGTTTGGAAGGTGAAACAAGACACTTAGTTGCTCGGCCTATATTGAACATAGCTCCTTTTGAACACAATAAAACTCTTGATGGCACCTATTTGTACACATTTATTTGATTGATTTATAGAAGAGTAATTAGAGATAATTTTTTTGAAGCTGGTATTGGTCTAATCTGAATGAGTATAATATATTCTGTTTATTTAAATACTCATGGTTGCTACATTTTCTGCAGTTTACAGAAGGTGAGGTTCCTGGTGCTTACTGTTTTGCATTAGTGGAACATCGTGGTTCTAAAGAAGCTCTTAAGCTAATTACCTTCCTAGATGGAGAGGTCAATCGGTTGGATAAAGTTGAAGCTGAATCCAGTACAAGGCTGTTGAAAATGCTTTCAATTCTTAAGGAAAGTGATAAGTTTATACGGGTGAAAAAAGTAAGTTGAACTTACATAATTGAGACTAGGAATTCAGTTTTTCATGTTGCCGATATACTCGTGAACCCTGCCTGCGATATCCGTCACTCTTAATAGTGTCCTTCAAATTTGCTAATTAGATACATTAGTTTGTATTTTATAAAAGTTATGTCCACTTGTCAAGCCTAATTTTCTAGTGAGCCTTTCATTTTTGCAACTTTTGCTCGAACATCTCTTGTTTTTGGTGGATTATTCTCGAAAGCTGTTCCTGATTTAAGATTTGTCTGAAGAATATGCTTCCTCAATCAACCAGTTTGACAATTTCTAGATTGAAATGATCCTCTCTCTCTCTCTGTGTGTGTGTGTGTGTGTGTGTGTGTGTGTGTGTGTGTGTCTGTCTCTCATCCAAATGTTACAAATAGTCGTAACAAGTAGTGTCATCAAAATGTTTGTCTGTGTGTGTGTGTGTTTGTCTCTGTCTCTCATCAAAATGTTACAAATAGTCGTAACAAGTTGTGTCATAAGCTTACAAGAGTTGCTCTTACAAATTATGGGAAAATAGATATTGAGAAAAGACAGAATATGAAAGGGGAGCCTATGAGGATGGTTGATGAGCTCCCTGCTGATGGGAGAGGCAAACCCTACAGCCCACATGAATGGGGCCGTGAGGGCTGCTGTCTTTGCTCTCTCTCTCTCTCTCTCTCTCTCTCTCTCTCTCTCTCTCAGAGGCACTCACTACCCCCCTCACACATGAGATTGCTGTGTTTCTACCTCTGTTGGCTCTCTCTTAAACCCATCAGTTGTATTTTTCATATGGGCCGACTATGACGATTCTTCGTTAATTTCTTTGAATGGTTACCAGATTGATAAGGGAACTCTGTTGCACAACATTCTTAACCAGGTAGTTGATGATTCACTGTAAAGAAGAATACAAGAGAAGAATCTTTGCTCATCCAAAATAAAACTAGCACTAGAACCATCCAAAAGATGTGTGCTATAATAGATGAAAGTGACATGCCAACAAAAAAATCTAATTACTAAGCATTAATTAATTGCAATGGCATTGATCAACAAATGAAAGATAACATATGAATGACATACTAGGAAGATAAGGCAAGGGTTATCTATAGTAGCCTAACTTGTTTCATATCATAGTAATCTAGATACTAGTTAAAATGCAAGTGCATTATCCACATTACAGAAATGAAAAACAGAAATAACAAGAGATCACAAAATTAGCGAAGGTGATAAATGTGTACATATATGATATATTCATGGGCGGGTTTGTATAGGAGAGGCAGTTGCACCCCTATGAATTTCAAGATTACATTGTAAATCTTTCTAAAGTTGAAACTGCCACCCATATTATAGTAGATATGCACCCTAGAAGATGATAAAGTGTATTGTGTACACTGAATAGTAAGCAATATTAAAATACGATGCAATGATAAAATATATTGAGTGCATTCCCAAAATGTACTATAGTTTTATAATATTATATTTTTATTTTTAGGTTGATAGATTCTTATTGTCCGCCCCTCTTAAGAAATTTTTTCTAAACCTGCCAATGCATACATTCAATTATATTTTTATTGATTTATTTGTTAAATGACTTTATGCTCATGAAATTTTGTGAATATTAAAACTATGTTGTAATTTGATTTTAAATCATATTCAAATCCTAGAGGGTAAAACAAGTCTAGAAAATTGGGATGGTAGTTCATGAAGGTTTTTTTTTGTGTGTGTGTGTATGTGTATATATATGTGTGTGTAGGCTAAATTACCAAATTGGTATTTAAAGTAGACCCTCTTTACCAATATGGTATTTAAAAAAACTTTGACGACATTATGATATTTTATTTTGATGCCCTTTACTAGTAAGACCCTTTCTCTTACCGGCGACGAAAATTTAGGGCAAAAAAATTATTTTAACCCTCTACGTCTCACATTTATTAAAATACACCTTAAGATTATTCTCTTTTAAAAAAAATTCAACTCTTTCATCTTTTTTATCTTTTCTTTTCTAAGCCTTCCTTCTCTGCTTCAACCGCCACATGAAAGACCACGATCACCTCCATGTCGTCTTGACCTAAGTATCCTCGTAGGTTTTCTTGGGTCAAATGGAAATAGGAAGGGTGAAATGCTACAAAAGAGACGAAAACTGTAATTTTGAGAAATGCACAACATTGGGTCGATGGTGGGCGAGTTCTTGCATGAACGATGATCAACTTTCTCCAATAGAGTTTGCATGCATGTGAAGGTTATAAAGTGAATTAATGGAGACACTTGAAAAGGCTTCATTGCTTGCAAGGAGAACATTGAGGACATCTTTGTATATGAAGGAGGATCGAAGGCGGGTTTGAGGTCAAGAGGAGAAAGGGGTAGCAATTTGATTGAGTCGTGCCAATATCCTCATGTGTGCTGAAGGGGTTGCTAGTGTCGATGAATTATGCCGCTTTGAGGAAATACCAATGATGGTTTTATGCGGATGATGATCATGGGTTATGGAGGAAATTGAGTGGTGACGCTTGGGATTTGGAGGGAGGCTGTGGAGATGGCCGACATTGGAAGTTGGTGGTGGAGGGCGAAGGTAACTAGGGTTCTATGACTGACGGTGCAGACAAAGTGTTGAAGAGTAATCCAGGGTTAAAGATGGATTTTTGACGGTGGTTGTCGGAGAGCACTGCCAAGTTAGAAGAGAGCTTCGGGAAAAATGAAAAAGATGAAAGAGTTAGGAAAAAAATGAAAAAGAGAGTAATTTTAGGTTGTAGTTTTATTAAATTTGAGAACCAGGAGTTAAATAAAATTTTTCTGCAGGAATGGGAAAGCAACGGCTCTATTGGCGGTCGACCGGCGGAAATATCGGTCGACCGCTATCCAGGACAAAAACAAGAAAAACAGGTATAGACTTATCCGGTCGACCGGTGCGGTCGACCGAAGGAAGCTCTCGGTCGACCGCGATCATTTTTGCCGCCGATAAGAAAAAGGGTCTTATTAGTAAAGAGGCTCAATAAAATACCATAATTTTAGGAGAGCATTGCCAAGTTAGAAGAGAGAGCTTCGGAAAAAATGAAAAAGATGAAAGAGTTAGGAAAAAAATGAAAAAGAGAGTAATTTTAGGGCGTAGTTTTATTAAATTTGAGAAGTAGGAGTTAAATGAAATTTTTCTACAGGAATTTTTGCCGCCGATGAGAAAAAGGGTCTTATTAGTAAAGAGGCTCAAAATAAAATACCATAATGTCACCAAGTTTTTTAAATACCATAGTGGTAAAGGGGGTCTATTTTAAATACCAATATGGATATATTATATATATATATATATAGTATATATATTATATATATATAAAGAGAGCGAGAGAAATAAGTATGCTTGCCGGTACCAAACACAAATTTTATGTTGCGTAGCTGAGCGTGACGATTCCCCATCCCTCGCTTCCATTCTCAACCCACTTTCCCAACCCATGTGAATATTAGGCCCCGATTTCAATGACGTGAAGGCAGAATATTGCCTACCTCACTACTAAGCATAAAAACTTATGTGCTTGGTATTCAAACATACCCTATTTTTCTCATATATATATATTATATATATATATATATATATATATTATATAATATATATATATATATTATATAGTCTTTCTCTAAAAAGTAGCATTAAAATTATTTAATTCTTTTTGAAATAACTAAAAATTATTTTATATATATATATATAATATATATATATTATTATATATATATAGTTTTTCTCTAAAAAGTAGCATTAAAATTATTTAATTCTTTTTTGAAATAACTAAACAATTATTTTTTATGATAACTAAACTATTCTTGATTAAAGTATTAATTTTTAAAATAATTGGTTATTTTTAAAATAACTAAACTATTCTTGATTAAGATTATTAATTTTTAAAATAATTAGTTCTTATATTTTTAGAATACCAATTTATCTTCTTCTCTTCTCTACTGTTTTATCTTTAACAATCCAAATCGCTTATTAATACTATTCAAAATACAATGATCAACTATTTTTTAATTTTAATTAATTTAATCAAGAAAATTTTAAAAAAGTAATACTAAAAAAATTAAATTTTTTTATTGAAAGTTAAAAGTGATCAAACTGAAAGATGGATAATTTGATGAGTATTGAAAACTACTAATGAAAAAAGGTATACAATATATTCGCAAATTTGATTCCTGAAAATCAAATTTTGTATACAACAATTTATTGATTGAGAGGTTGATAATATATTTACTAGTACTTACCTATGCAATGCATGATACTAACTAGTACTTAATGTTATAATATTACAATGTATGATACTTATATGTATAACTCATATATACAACTCCTTATCAACTTATGTAACTATATTAAATTTTTTGAAGCAATTACTACCTTACTGCACGACTTTTGATTTTGATCTTTATTTAGCACCCTAAATTTATTCCAATCCTTAGAAGGCGAGATTCTTTGTGGGAAAAAGAGGTTTGCATTAAAAGGAAGGGGAAAAAACATGATCATAAGAAGAGACCACAATACTCTAAGCCTCCAAATAAACTATGGAAATCCTTTACGAAAAACTTAAGCTTTAATGAATTGCACTTAACTTTGATGAACTACACATTGTACAAGAGCTCATTTTACAGCCATGAATAAGTTCTTTTCCATGACAACAAATTATCATAACATAGTCAATATGCCCAAATATTAAAATATTTTTGAAACTTATTTAAGATAAGATTCTTTTTAAATGATTAATGTGAGTGTATTATAAAATTTCCCCCCAAGTTGTGATCATCCCTCATTTTTATCTCTAATCATAGTTAGCACTAAAATTTTATCAATTTCTCCCAAATGTAACGATAAAGAGGCAATTGTGCTTCCAACATCTAGATTTGACAGAATATTCCCCTCAAATCAAATGGTAGTTAACTAGAGGAACGATTTCGCAAGTCCCTATAGGACTCGAGGGACTAAAGATTTAAGGGGCTTATGTCTTTAAAAAACTCTTTTTAATCAAAAGTGTTTGTCCTAAACCATTTTGATTTAGTGGTTTAATCTAAAAAAGATAAACCAAAATGACTTATTCTCCGAATTTTTTTGGGGACCATTAGAAAACTAGTGGAAAAGTTTTATTTGTAGACCACAGGATTCTAATTCACAATAAACACTTGAAGTGCCATCTCAATTGTCCCCAGGTTGGTCCCATATCTTAGTTTGTCACAAACTCCAAAACTCAAGCATGATCGTACATAACTCAAAAGGAGCAGCTCTACTCCCTTCTCCCCTCTTCCTCCCCGCCCTCCCTCTCTCATTATGCGGTCTTCAGTATGAACTCAAAATTTTGAGGAGATCCATGGCGGCTCTAGCTAAGGTAACTAAAAAAAAATTAACTTTTGATAGTTGTTCTCGATAAGAAAAGATACTTTTTTGCTTTGCTTTAGTTTAGGGTTTTGATGAGAGGTTGAATGTGAATTGCTAGAATTTGAGAGGGAAAGATAAAGTTGAAGTTTCTTTTCCTAAAATGTTGGTATTGATGGAAGTGGTTCTACCTAGCAAAGGAAAATGCAATGCCCTCTTAGTTAGAAGTATGAGATGTTCATTTTGTAGTTGTCTTATTTTAACAATGTATATATGGCATCACTTTTTTTTAAACATGATTTTAGGACGGAAGCCTAATTTCACTAAATGAAACAGGAAAGATATATTGTCACAATTTTAAATGCTCTAAAGTTCCTTTTAGATTAGGATTGAATGTTGATGGTTATTGTGACTGAGCTATGAACTAGAATTAGAAAGTGCTACTGTGTTATGCTATTTTATGTGATAGCTTATTTGATATGGTTTCTATCTCATGAGTTCATTTAAGTTACTTATGATTGTAAGTGATTTCTCGTGTGTTTGATAGCTTAGATAATAACATTTATATGCAACAAGTTCTTTATTTTATATATGGCACTTCATTATGCTTGGGTAAATACTTTTATTCGTTTATTATTTATTAAAAATAATTTTGGATGTGCGCTTGGTTATGTTGGCAATCCTTGCTTGCTTAATTAGCTTCAAAGGGACTTTTATTGAGAACAATGTGAGTCCGAAAATAGCCAATAAAATTGTCTCATAAGTAATTTGGTTATAATCTAAAGGAAATTATATAAGCCTAAACAATACATTTGTACCTTATATTTCCCCTCTGAGACCTACATATTAAGAAGGTTTCAAAGGGACTTAAGAATGGGAAATATCAGTGCAACTTTGCTCGCATGAAGAGAGGACAAATTAACGTTGTGTCCTTTAAGTGTTAGTATTGTTACAAAACAGCCTGTCTATTAATGCTAATGCTACATAGAGCTAATACATTGGGAAGAGAGAGAAGGAAATAAGGGTGCACAGAACTACATAAATTTCCTTTATGTACTAAATAATTTCCTTTATAGTGAAACTGACTTTGCTCAACTTTTGCTTAAAATTCATTTGATCTATGACACTCCGATATTGTCAACAAAATGGTTACATAAACAGGGAAGGAAAAAAGAAGGGGGACGTCTTGAGGCAGTAACATGAAAGTAGTAAGGGAGGAGGGGGAAAAAAGAGTTTGAATAGTGCGTAACCAAGTTTTTAACTTAATTTCATTATGCTTGTAAACTTTCTTTTGCCACGTGCATTATACACGTGTTAACTTTTGTCAGTAGTTGATAGCCTACAATTTTGAACTTTCGTTATGTTTAAAATATTAAAAATGACTCTCATCATAGATCAACATGTCGATTGTAATTAAAAATCACACCGATATGGGCATAGTGCAACAACATGTTGTGTGTACAAGAATGCTTATGCTTTAAAGTTGATGTGTTCTAGTAGTTACTTAAAGAGTTTTAAACTATGGTTTCCAGGCTGATAGTTTGGTCTAAAGCTGGAAGTTGACATGAATCACAGGTGATGTAACCATAGCTTCCACAAGGGGTCGTTCTTCTTCCAATATGTTACCAGTTAGCTGGAAACAGATCATATATTTATCTGTTCAATGATCTGATATGATGTCATCATATTATTCAGATCACGAAATTGATTACTTAGGAATGATTTGTTAGGGCCCTATATAATAACCATTATTTGTGAAAAATTGGTTTTCGAAATGAGTGGAACAAGTTTAGCTGGTTGACTTGGTTTCTTTCTTTTTTTTTCCTTTTCCGGAACCCTTTATATTCCTTCCAGGCAGTTTTTGTTCAAAAAGCCAAATAATTTAAGAAAAAATATTCACCCACAAATGGTACTGGACCTGTTTCTGGAGGTAGTTTGCTGTCAGAAGAGTTGAAACCTCATTTATAACTATTGGACTTTTTTCAGCTTTGCAGTTTATCAACTATCATGCGCGAGTATGTGGGTCTACATTCTGTTGCTTCTCTTCCTTTCAAGGATTTGATATTATCAGCTTCAGAAAAATTAAATGCTAGGAGTTTGGACGATCATGAATGGAATGTTCCTCGACCACTCATGAGTTACCTCAAAGATTACTTGAATGATTCTCAGTTAGATGCGATACATGTGAGTCCTGCCCTCAACTCAGTTACCGTGTGATTATCTAACGAACTTCAATCGTAACGTTCACATTGTGACATAGTAGCAGCTGCTTTTTGTTCCTTTATCCTGTTATATCAGAATATATTCACCTGACGACTCAGTCTACTTCTTTGATGTAGGCAGGTCTTTCACGAAAGAGCTTTGTTTTAATACAGGTTTGAAATTTCTTACATTTTCTATGGGCAACGTATTTTCTTCGTTCTAGCATTTGGGGTCTTTCTTTTTATTGTTCGAAACAGAAGTAAAGAACATACCCGTTTTAGATATAATTAACATTTCTGATATAGCTACCTAGGTATGGCATTCAGCTAATTGAAGATTTGACGAGGGAATAAAATGTTGTGTTGAGACTCATAATTTTACATTCAATTGGGTTCTCAAATATAATATTTCTTAAAAATAGAAACAAAATTTAGTGCACAATATGCTATTCTTGTATATTCAACCAGCTCGTTTAAAAAAATTCAACTGAAACATAAAAGTGCTGAAAGGTTGTGTTTGTTTGAAAAACAAATAGGCGTAAAATCATAGAAAAGAAGGATTTTGATCATATTTTTAGCACCATCTGGCCCTTCCATTTTAATACCAAAGCAAAAATCAAGCAACGTGACCATTTTACTGTGTCAAGATCTTTTAATTTCAGACACTTACCCATTTAGTTTTCCTTTTGTGTAACTTGCTCTTCTGCATCCTTGCAACATTCTCTCTTCTAGGGTCCACCGGGGACAGGAAAAACGCAAACAATTCTTGGGCTTCTCAGTGCTGTTCTTCATTCATCCCCAGCAGCAGTGCAGTCTAGGTAACTTCATTCTTTATCCTTTAAATCTTTTAAGTTGATAGGTCTTAAGAAGAGTATGATTTCGTCTATTTGCCTTTCTTCCTGGTTGTTTATAGTTCAAAGGATAAACAAGGGATCTCACTATCTTTTTCTTTTTCTAGAAAATTTAATTTACCCTTACATTAAAATGTTCTGTTTATTTTTTTATTTTGATTTTGATTTTGATTTTTTATTTTTGTTTGTTGCAGAGGGTCGTCTGCTTCTAAACATAGGTTCGAGTTGCCATTGCAGGATAAGTATGTCCTGCTTCTTTTGTTTATCTACTAACTGTCAAGCTTGATGTACCCACAACCAAATTTCTTGTGTGCATGAGCATGGAAATTATTTTGCCGAATTGTACTCCCTCTCAAAAGTATTTAAGTATCCTTCTGGCCAATTAGGTCTGGACAGCGTATAAAGATGCATGCCATTTTGACTTGTTCTATCCTCTTTAGCATTATATTGCATTTGCTCTCTTTTAGAATTGGTAACTACTATCAGTATGTGTATGACAAATTAAAATTGTCAAGGTGATAAGCCTACTTAAAATGCTCTATGATTATCCATTCCCTAACCATCAAATTTATTTTACTCACAAGGTAACTGGTTAACATTAGCCTATTAGACATTATCTTAGCTCTCCTGAATTGAAATTTCCTGCATTTATGATTTTTCTTTTTTTGGGTTGTTTTTTCCGGTTGGGGGTGTCCAATTTTGCGTTTCGCTAGACAACTGATTATCACAAGCTAGAGCGAGTTTTACAGGCTGGTTGATATTATTTTGTAAACAAATATGATTCATTATCTTTGTCCCTACACTGTTGTGGTCAATGCTGATTCTAGAAAAGCAGCTAGAGACAGTTTTATCTATATCACAGTCGTTTATTTCTGGTCCATATACCAACATGAAATATGCACAACTATCTTCACATAAAGCGGCATAATATGACAAGCGTATTGAGAATTAATTTTCTTGTTTAACTGCAATATCCTATTACTTCTAATTGTTATTGTTGTGATACATGTATCTGCTGCTTTAAATTGCCATGTCCTGTCATGTTTTTTTTAAAAATTATGCTTTGATTTAATCAATTTTCCCTTGAACTAATTTGTGTTTGCCATGATTTATATCCCTAGATATCGTAATTGGGGAAAAGCATCTCCATGGTTAAGTGGTTTGAGTCCAAGAGATCTGATTGTGCCCACTGACGGTGATGATGGGGTTTTCCCTATTAGGAACGAATTGGTATTCTTCATTGTATATTAATCTTTTTGACAAATCACTTCATTTTTATTCCATACATTTATATTGTCTTTCACAGAAACCTGAGATTGTAAATGCTAATCGTAAGCACCGGGTCCATGTGCTAGTTTGTGCTCCATCTAACTCCGCACTTGATGAGATAGTATTGCGTGTTCTACACACTGGTAAGAAAATTCAGTATCTTCACATGGTTCTATTTTAGCATACATTATCAGTACTGATTCTTGAAGTTGATGGATTTAATTAGATCGATTAGCTGTGTTATTATTTCTGCTTATCTTCTATGCCTTGAGCTTTTTTTTTGGGGGAATCAAATAAGCATTTGTTAATTAGCATTTTAAAAAAGTACAGCCTGGGTGGAAACAACACCCAGACCACCTAAATTTTCTCTAGGCGACTCCAAGTAAACATTGGGGGGCCTTGGACACTTAAACAGACTTGCTCTGCATCGAAAATGTTTATGTGAACAGCTTAAGCATATTATTGGCATGGAAAAATGTCAAACCCGCTACTCATGATTAAGATAAGCATGCTATGTGCTATGTTGGGGATCATTCGCACTCCCCAAACCACCCCCTCACAACCCCCCCCCCCCCCGCCCCCCACCCCCCCCCCCCCCCCCCCCCCCAAAAATAAAAAAAAAAGCAACAACCCCACGAATGCCTATCTATGTCTCGACCTTGGTAGAATTTGATTATTTCTTTTGACGTTGCTTTTCCGAGTTCACTTTCAACAATCTCGCTCACTGATCGGAATGAAGAATGTCTTCATGGAGTATTGTTTGGTTAAACTTCATGGAATACTAGTTTATGTTTATGGAATCCTCTTTGCAACAATTCACTTGAAAAAGCAAATCTGGGAATCATCTCCCACTTGTTATATTATTTTGATATGCATTCTAGCTGTTCGCTCTTTGTTGAAATAGATGAAATTATGCTACGCATGCAATCTTCATAGAAAAACAGTATATCATTGTTGTCCTTCATTGCCTGCAGCACTACTGAAATTTTCAACACCTAGATCTACAGTGGTTAGATGCTTATGGGTTTTCAATGAAAATTCATAGAATAGGTGTCTTCCCCCGTTCTGTTCATTTGCATGAGAGTGTAAATGTGTAATTACTGATCAGTATCTTCTCATCTATTCCGAAACCTTTGCGTGTCCTTGAATTGCATAAACTAAATCCCGCCCATATATATGCGTGACTTTTTGCTAAAGCAAGTCATCTAAACCTTGTGTCTCTAGCTTCTATCTAATTATCTTCTGCTTTTAGATTTCTTGTCAAATCCTGAAAAGGTGACTTAATGGTTCTTACTTATTAGGTTCTTCTCTAGATCATGACAGTTGACATGAGAAGGATTATCATGACTCTGTTGTTGCATTGCTAAGTTGCTGTTTTATCATGTGGTTGATAGTCACAAGTTTCATAACTTATGAGTACGGTTTAGGGTCAACTTCAAGCATCCTACCTTTCTTTATTTGTTACCTTGATAAAGTAATGGTCCTTGGTATACTTTTTACCAGGCATTTACATCAAAAGGTTCCCTTAACATTCTGTTTATCTGGAATGTCTGTTGATCTCCACGCCTCCACGCTAAACACTGATGGAGCCAGGTTACCACCCCCCCCCCCCTCCCCAGCCAAAAAAAAGAAAGAAAGAAAAAAAAACCTGGCTCCATCAGTGTTTAGCGTGGAGGCGGGAGCATCAAAGAGACCACCCCCCCCCCCCTCCCCAGCCAAAAAAAAGAAAGAAAGAAAAAAAAAACCTGGCTCCATCAGTGTTTAGCGTGGAGGCGGGAGCATCAAAGAGCATTCCAGATAAACAGAATGTTAAGGGAACCTTTTGATGTAAATGCCTGGTAAAAAGTATACCAAGGACCATTACTTTATCAAGGTAACAAATAAAGAAAGGTAGGATGCTTGAAGTTGACCCTAAACCGTACTCATAAGTTATGAAACTTGTGACTATCAACCACATGATAAAACAGCAACTTAGCAATGCAACAACAGAGTCATGATAATCCTTCTCATGTCAACTGTCATGATCTAGAGAAGAACCTAATAAGTAAGAACCATTAAGTCACCTTTTCAGGATTTGACAAGAAATCTAAAAGCAGAAGATAATTAGATAGAAGCTAGAGACACAAGGTTTAGATGACTTGCTTTAGCAAAAAGTCACGCATATATATGGGCGGGATTTAGTTTATGCAATTCAAGGACACGCAAAGGTTTCGGAATAGATGAGAAGATACTGATCAGTAATTACACATTTACACTCTCATGCAAATGAACAGAACGGGGGAAGACACCTATTCTATGAATTTTCATTGAAAACCCATAAGCATCTAACCACTGTAGATCTAGGTGTTGAAAATTTCAGTAGTGCTGCTGGCAACGACAAACATTATTCTATGCATCAATCAAAGAGAGATCAAATATTATAATGTATAATTAACTGTCATATATGTATAAGCGAAAAAAGAAATAAAGTAAAAATTTTACGTAAACAGAACTTAGTTCATTTCAACATATGAATTCATCGTTGAATCAATACATTTCAATCTTCTAAACTCTCTTTTTGAAATATATCATACTTAGTTTTTCCACAACCAAAAACTATAAATTATAATCTTTTTGAGAACTTGATAAATTGACAATTATACTATTAAACTATCACATTTATAATATAGTTGTAGAAGTACGCATACCCATTCAAACTCAAATCCAAAAAAAACTTTCTTGTA